ACATCAAAATAGACTCAGAAAGGCACATAATCACAAGGTTTTCAGATCCAATACTTCAGTTTAACACAATCAACTAATTTTTACTAAAATACGATTAAAATCTGAACTTTCAAGTTCACCGAGCAAACCTTTGAATTTTTCAGTGAAATTTGGACACAACACACATTTCATCAAATTACTGAGCCTCACCAAAATTCACAGAAAAATACCAAGTACTCGATTTTTAATGATTTTTCAAAGTTTCAGGTCAGATTTTCAAATCGGCAAATAACATAGCTACAGACCTTATTGTAACTTGAAATTTTTACACGACCTATAACATCATCAGAGGGTTATACAGTTCAAATTTCGCAGCAATCGGACGAGTATACAAACTTAGATGATTTTTCGAAGTTTCAGCAACACTATACGATTCAAAAATGCACAACAATTAAATCAATCAATAATTTCGTCTAAGGCCTTCATCATCAGGCCAAAGACTTCAAGTGTTCCATAGATCCACAACAATTAACACGATTTAACACAAAATCACAATCGAATATCAATAATGAACAAATCACGAGTAAAATCAATTATGTATTAAACTTTAACACAAGATCTCCCAACAAGGCATCAATACTTAGCATATACATACTAAAATAATAAGAATTAACAGCCTTGTACCGTTCTCGGGATAAATTGCACGAAAGAGGGATCGAAAGGCCGAGGGGGATCGCGGACGCGCGGGGACACGGCTTGCGGGCGTCCACTGGGCGTTGGCGGCCTGCGTGGGATGCCGGGGCGACTCTCGAGCGTCTGCTGGGCACCGGGTGGTGACGGGGGGCGCGAACTGAGGCCTGGGGTGCTTGCGAGCGTGACGATGGCCGCCTGTTGGTGTCGCTGGGCACTTGCGACGGACGGGGCGATCACACGGTGGCGGAGGGCTGGCCACGGCTGAGAGAAAAAAAAAAGAAAAAGGAAGAGAGAGAGATCGGCGAGAGGGAGGGAGAGATGGAGAAGGGCTGCGCACAAAAAATGAAGAGGAGAGGGAGATCTTCTCCCATATATATAGCTAGGTGTTGTGACTTAACCTACAAGTCACTTGCCATAATTAACAACACCACACAAAAGGAAGGAGGGAGGGACGTCCGCCTAGGCTTGGGCGCGGCTTGCGGATGCGCGGCTCACGGGCGCGCGGTTTCGGGCTCGAACATGCTCGGTTTGACGAAAATAAAATTACAATAGTAATAATTAAAATATTTAAAATAATATTTAATATTTAAAATAAAAATACCGAAATTAATATATATATATATATAATAAACAAAATTAGGCACATAAAATCATTTAAGCATTTAGACAATTAACATTCAATAATAATAGCCACAATTAATGATAACAATAATAATAATAATAATAACAATAATCCAAATTATTCATAAACGAACGGGGCGTCACACTTCGTAGGTGGGCTGAGATTCGATCTAGCCGCAGAAGTCCGACTGGAGCGACCAGACACGATGCATAAAGCCATGGAGGTAGCCCATCGACGAGAAGACCATCTAGTCACTACGCGAAGGGGACGGACGGATGTACGATTCACGGACACGCGACGCACGGGACCGAGCTAGGCAACGGCCAGCGCACGGCCGAACATCAGCAATTGGCCGGCGGGGTCGATAGTAAGGCGACTGTCTCCCGAGGAAGTTAAACGTCGACGCAAGAAAGGCCTATGTTTTAAATGTGAAGAAAAGTTTACGCCGGGCCATCTGAGTAAACAAGCTTTTGTGATTGAAGTAGCCAATCCCGACGATGAGGAAGACGAAAGCGAGGTAGAACCGGATCCAGATGACAACTTGGAAGCAGTTAATGAAGAACCTGAGATCTCGATGCATGCTATGGCCGGAATCAGAGGGCCAAGAACGATGCGACTACCAGCATGGGTCAAAGATCGAAGGGTAATTGTACTTGTAGACAACAGGTCATCACATAATTTCATCAATGTTGATTTGTCTCAAAAGTTGAAGTTACCAACCACAAAAATCGAGCCCTTTGAAGTACGAGTGGCCAATGGAGAAAGGCTACAATGCACTGAGTAATTCCAGAAGGTGCCAATCAAGTTCAACGGAGTTACAGTTAAGGTTGACCTCTACGCCTTACCTTTGGTTGGACCGGATGTCGTTTTGGGAGTACAGTGGCTCGAGGGGTTAGACAAGGTGACTACCGACTATCGAACGGGAATTATGGAGTTCAACGCGGGAGGTCAACAAGTCACTCTGAGTACTGGCAATGAAAAAGGTACCAAGGAAGTAGGACTTAAAAGCATTGAAAAAGTTTGGCGAGGTGGAGGCCAAATATTTGCAGTAGTAGTCGAGAACACTGAGGCGCACATAGACCAAGATGAACAACGACAAGGAGATGTGCGCGAGCTTCTCAAGGAATTTGAGGGAGTACTGGGCGAGCCTAAGGGACTACCGCCACACCGAGAGTTCGATCATCTCATACCACTAATCAATGAGCAGCATGCCATACATGTCCATCCTCACAGGTATGCTCACTTTCAGAAAACTGAGATCGAATGGCAGGTGGCCGAGATGCTTGAGTCAGGACTAATCCAGCATAGCAAGAGTCTGTTTTCTTCTCCAGTACTGTTAGCTAAAAAGAAAGATGGCACGTGGAGGTTCTGTACTGACTATCGAGCTCTGAATGCCGCGACTATCAAGGATCGATTTCCCATTCTGAGTGTTGACGACATGCTAGATGAGTTAGCTAGATCACGTTACTTCTCAAAGCTCGACCTGAGAGTTGGTTATCATCATATTCGACTCCACAGGGCCGATATTTCAAAGACAACATTTCGTATGCACCAGGGGCACTATGAGTATCTGGTTATGCCATTCGGATTGCACAACGCCCCATCCACTTTTCAGTTTGCTATGAATTCCATCTTCAAGGAGTATCTACGTAAGTTCGTTCTGGTATTCTTTGATGATATTTTTATTTATTCAAAGTCGTGGGGAGAACATCTTGAGCATTTGATAGTAGTGCTCGAAATCTTGGAGGCAAACTCATT